CCCTGAAAGTGTGTGAACTTTTACTTTTTAAAAATACGCTGATATATATATATAAAAAAAAACTTCCCAAACAGAACACAATGCACTCTGCTGGAAAACGAAAATCCAAGCGACATTTAGTAAGGAGGAGTGTGCTTCCCAAAGTCCTGGAAACAACAAAGTATCTGTTGCACCGATTCCCCCGATCGCTTTCGTGATCTTCAAACAGCAGTCAGGAAAACCACGATTCTTTTTCTCTCAGCAGCTCCTCTGCCAAAATGCTGCAGAGCCAGGAGATAGCCTGAGAGTGCTCAGCACTATACCGCACTGTCCCCAGGGAAAGCCGATAGTGTCCCCAACACTGACATTCGGTCTGTCAGGAAATCCTCTGGCTCTGCCTTCACATACATCTAGAATTTGCTTATCACCACCTCCTCTGCTACCCTCTGGGCCAAGCCAGCACTGCCGCCTGTCTGATTGTTTCATTGGCTTTCTCATTATTAGTCTCCGTTCTCCCCTAGTCACCACCCTTAGCTTATTCTCATGCAGCAGCTGGAGTGATCCTGTTAAGAGGGAAGTCAGGTCACGTCCCTCCTCTGCTGGAAACCCTCTAGTGGCTCCCACGTCCCCCATAACCTGGCCTTCTAGCACTGCTCCCACTTGCCTGGAAAACCCTTCCCAGAGATTCACAGGACTTATTTCCTTCATTCCTTTAATTTTAGTTCTTTACTTAAATATTACCTGTCATGTGACTGCTGTCCAGGCCATACTACCTAAAATTGCAGCCCTCTTTCTATGCGCTGTCAGTGTATTTTTCACTCTTGCATCCACCATACTATATACAGTAGAAGGTACATTCACCACCCAACAGCCTGTCACAGACTGGTCAACATACAGAGATGGTCAACGTAAGCAACTACTGTGCTGATAAGTACACGCAGTGCATGTCTGGTCTATGAAAATCAGGTGGACTGAAGGAGATAGTTGATGTAGGGAGGCGGTCAACTATGGAGGCTCCACTGTCATTTATTTGTTTGTTTTTTAATTCAGAAGATGAACGAAAGGGAGATTTATTACTCTGCTGGCAAAAGAGGAAAAATGGCAGACTACTGGTCTCAAAATACCAAGTTTCCTGTTTTTAATCTGTAAACTACCTGCCTCTCTAACCAGAATGTAGAGTGTAGGCTTCTCTGGGGCGGGTATTTTATGTTGTTGCTATTCACTTTCTCTAAAGCCAAGGATGGTGAGTGGCACAGAGAGACATCTACGTATGGGAGAGGCTATCCTCTCTGGATTATTCCACATCTGCCATCCTTTGAGTTAGACAATTTAAAGACTTAAAATTAGATTGATGTGCTTTTATGCACCTTTATTACCAGGGCACAGAATTTTTATATTCTCTTGAGACATTTACTTGTACCTTGCTTTCTCTACCTGGAATGCCCCCATCAAAATGCTTCCCAGCTTTGGTTAGATCAAGAACTAGTCAAAGGTCTTCTTCTGGAGAAATCTATTTCCTCTGGCCCATTAATCTCTTCTGAATATTCCCATTAACAGGTTTTCACTGACTGTCACGTACAGTTGGCATCTAGTGTATTGAACCTGACATTTATTTCTTATCTAGTTATTTCTATCTGGCTATGTTATATAATTCTTAGGTTTGGGCAGCTGGATCGACACCCCCATTGGCATCTCACATAATGCCTTATGTATTATGTCTTTAACTATTTTGACTCATGCAACAAGAAAATATCGCAGACCCTTGGATTTTGTTCTATAATGTCATTGCAAAGTCTCAGTTTATTGTAAATAATTAATTTGACTTGAAAATAATGTCCCAAATTCTAAATAAAAGTATACATATTATATTCATGTTCTGCATAGCTACCAGGATGGGAACACTATGTCAGTTCTCTAAGAAGAGTCCAGTTTTTCTATAATCAAAATTACCAACTTCATTCTGTTCATTTATAGGACAAACAATAATAAAATTAATATATCAAATTATAAGACTATAATTTATGAAAGATAAAAATTTTATTTACAGTAAGTTAAAAAAAAAAACCCTAACCTCTTTTTATATTAAGATACAGAAGAGAAATTCCTGTCTTGCTTTTTTTTTTTTTTTTTGCTAGAGGTGGAAGCAGTCTGGAACATTCCATGTAGCCACATCAGATGGCAATACAAATGCTAATCGCCCTGGTTAATTTTGACAACATAACCCTGGTCTAGTTCTAACTAAATCAATGAAGACATTAAAAGATGCACATGGAATCTTAAATTAAATAATCTTTAGAAAAATCAGTATATAATAAATGATTTAATTTAATCAGACTAAAGATTTAGGAATTTGAGATCAAAATTTTTAAACCATATCCATATGACAGCCATTATGTTTCTTTACAGAAACTTTTTCTTTTTAACCAAACTTTAAAAATTCAGATTGGTAACAGCTTATTCTTCATCCCCCAAATTGTATCAAATTTCCCCTCTGGCATTAGAGTCACATGTGCAATCCACAAAGATACCAACTGTTACACTAAATGCCATAATTTCTTCTCCGTAGTAAGAAGACATCGGAGCATAGATATCAGTGTGTTTAAGTTTACAAATTATCCTGAGTATAATTAAATCACATGAAAGTAGGAATAGAAGCTAACTATTTCTTATACCACAATAAATCTTTTATTCTGCTAAGAAATTTGACAAATTAAAGTTTAAAGAGTTATCTTTCTATGCTCCATCTTGCTAAAATAAATTTCCAAGGAAACTTCTTTCTGGTCTACAAAACCAACCAAACCACCCCTCAGAGGAATAGTAAGTGCAGTAGCAAAACCAAAAACTACCTTTTAACACTGCTTACAACACTTCCAATTATTTATCTGGGTTTTAAAATTCTAATCACGTGCAACCTGCACACGAAAAGTATTTAATGCAATTGTGCTTCATACCAAAGCAGAGACAAATTTACTTTGTAATTATATCTCATCTGTTGTACAAAAGAGAGAAACAGTCCATGTATGAAGCAGGCTATTGATTGAGAATTACTGACTACTGAATTCATTAGAAAGCAGATAGCTTAAAAAGTAATTTTAGTTTTCTAACAAATTATTTCTTATTGAGCTAAAAGAAAGATGTATACATTAAAATTTTAAAGGAAAGCTTTTTAGAGATACTCTTTTTAAAAATCTAAATGCTTTATGCATCTCTGTACCTTCTGAATACATCAGTAAAACAAAGTCCCTACACCTTGCCTGGAGCCAAGCGACTCCTTTACAGATTGATAAACTGTCTAGATGGGGCTTCATTAGCACAATCCCAAACCAATTTATAGCAAACAAAATTTTGATTTCCTGTTTGCTTCCCTTATTTTTATGTAGTATCAAGTACACGACTTAAAGTAACAGTGGAGTCTGTCTTTTAATGCATATATATGGGGTGGAATCAAAGTCACCAATATTAGATGGTTTCTACCTACAAAATGACAAGTTCATATAATTCAACCTCCTATTTTCCCTTATCTGGATAATAATTGCACTCTTCTTGTTAGGTAACTGCTCCAGAAAAGCCCCTTCCCCAGAAAGCCCCTTCCTGCTTTCAAATAGACCAAAACTAGCTGTCTCACCTTAAAGTTACAGCTCCTTCAAAAAGGAGTTGCCCGTTAAACACCTTATCTCCCAATCATAAAACCTGCCTCATCTCCCTGTCCCAATTACCCACTGAAAATGTCAAACTTATGGCCTGCCCCTAATGGCTCTTCCTACCAGAGCAGTAACTCCTTACTGGCTAGTCTACCATCCCATCACCATTCTGAGACTTCCCCTAGCTGAACCTATATAAGGGGGCACTTTCCTTTCAGTCCCTCCTCCTCTCCTCTCTCTCCTCCTCTCTCTCCCCTTCTCTCTTCTCTCCTCCCTCCTCCTTGGTGCCGCTCTCCAGCATCCCTCCCTCTCCAATGAAGACCTTTCCTACAAGCTTTGGTGGTCTGTGAGGTCTCTGCCGGTCGAGTGCTGCACTCTCACTTCTATCGTTCTGTTTTGTAGCACAACTGTTAAATGTCACATTTGTTATATGGACTTGTCCTCTCAAAGTCCCACGTACCCCATGTTCCCTGAGTTAGAGTTCTGTAATGTAGATTAATTGACTTTGGCAATGGATCACCAATGGCCTGGATCACCATGGAAGGACAGATATCCTGTTGCCTGTACGCCTCTGTGACAGCCAGTGTATGTTCAGTGGCAGTCATGGCCACCTCCACAGCACTGGTGGAGGTGGAGACTGTCTGGATTCCTCAGGGCACCAGGCTTTGCAAAGCCTGGCAAGCAGAGAGTGAATCCCAAAAAGTGGACCAACATTTTTAATAATCTGTACTGTTTTCTAGGTAAGGCTTGCTCAGTTTGACTCTACCTCACAAGGAGGCAACACAGCTCACAAACCACCTTTCTCTTGCTCCCTCTCAGTATAGGGAGAAAAACCCAAGTGAGTTTCAACTTGCACTTTGAGTGATTCACTGAATATAAATGTATTGAATACCTACTACAAACCAAGCAGTGAGGTACAATTTAAGATGTCTAGTTAATTTCTAACTCCATTAAGTAAGTTATTAATGCAAGAATGCTGATAGGAGTATTTTATAAACAATTGCAAGTATTAGAAATACTTCTGAATTTCAAGATAATCCATCAAGAGAGATTAACAAAGGGAAGTAGCTGCTTTTCCTATAGCTTCCAAGGAGAAGACTAGTTTAGTTTAGCACCTCTGAAAGACAAATAACACAGTAGGGAATGGTGTCCCAAGACAGCAGTTGAAACGTCCCCTGGTGGCATCTTCCATAGAGGAGGCAGCGAGCCCGGCTTAGGTTGAGCTCAGGGTTCTTTGCTGGAGCTGCTCCCCCTTGTGGCCATTCAGGTACATTGTAAAGGTGACTTGCATGAGGTTCTTTTTGGACTAAAATGTCAGGCTGCTCAGACCACATTTTATCCCCTCCCCAATAAATACTTAAATTTAAAAAAAAAACTTACTGTGGTAGAATCAAAAGAACAGATATCCACAACAGGGGGAGTAGAGCTCTGCATATCGATTACCTCAAGCTTTGGATTAATCTGTGTGTACACATAAGAAAAGTTAGTATGAGATTTTTATAAGATGAGAAACCAAATGCTATTGGTAAAATCCTAGAGGACACTTCCTAATAAATTCTAAAATTAAAATATATTGGTATATCTTTAATGTGGACACTAAAATTTTTAGTAAAATATGAGCCTAACCAATCCCATCAATGTAAAAATCGTTATGACAAAGTTGAATTTATCCAAGAAATAAAAGGACTGTTTTCATTATAGAAAACCAATAAAATTTATCTGCAGAAGGATATTAAAAATAAAATAAAACAACCCACCTCAAAAGATGCAGAAAAAAATCCTAGCCAGTTCAGTAACATAAGAAAAGGAAATAAAAGATGTTAAGATGTAAGAATTAGAAAGAAAGAAATAACATTGTCATTCATATGTAATATAATTATCTATTAAGAAATCCCAAGAGAATATATTGCTAAATAATTAGAATAAGAAAGAAAACTTAATAAGATTTCCAGATCCAAAATCAATATGCAAAAGCAAATACATTTCTGCATTCTAGCACACAATTAGGAAATATAAATTTTTAAAAGACACTATTTATAATACTCTAAACGTTTTCTATTTTTATTTTTTTTGAGACAGAGTTTTACTCTGTCACCCTTGGTAGCATGCCATGGCATCACAGCTCACAGAAACCTTAAACTGTTGGGCTCAAGTGATTCTCTTGCCTCAGCCTCCCAAATAACTGGGACTACAGGTGTCCGTCACAATGCCTGGCTATTTTTAGAGACAGGGTCATGCTCTTGCTCAGGCTGGTCTCAAACCAGTGAGCTCAGGCAATCCAGCCGCCTTGGCCTCCCAGAGTGCTAGGATTATAGGTATGAGCCACCGTGCCTGGCCCTCTCTGAAAAATTTTTAAATACATCAGAATAAACATACGAAGATGTTTAAGACCTTACAGGAAACAAAGCATGTTATTAAATAAGGCTCAAATAAATAGAAAACTATATAATAAGGAGCCAAGAAGCAGAGTGCTATATATATATATATGAAAAATAAATATAAAAGAAAAATAACAACACAAACAGCATAGGAAAGATCATCTATAGTTGAAAAACTGTCTCATTATGTAGATTCCTGTCTGATCCTATATACAGAGATGGGCATTTAGAAACCTAAATGTTATATTAAAACTCTATAAAGTTAATAGAAGTATATAAGAATATCTTCGCAAACAGAGGCTGAAAAAATTATCTTAAACAAATATGGCAAAAGCAAAACCATGAGGCAAAACAAAATAAAACAAAACCCCCCAAACTGGTGTATCTAATGACACCAAAAGTCAGGATTTCTGTTTAACAACGGGCACAAAGTTAACAATCAGATGACGGAACAGGAGGAGATATTACGATGTTGAAAACAGAAAAGGCCACTAAACCTATAAATCAATGTGAAAAGGGCAGCAACACCGACCTAAATTATAGAAATGAAGAACCCAATAATCAGCATATGAAAAGGTGTTTATAAACCTTAGTAAAGACAAAAGTAAAAACAACACAAACTACCACTTACTGCGTATTAGGCTGGAAAAACTGGAAAGCTCGATGATGCCAACATTGTTTAAAGCAGAATTGTCAGCACTGTTTGCAATGGCCAAAAAACAATTACAAATACCCCAAACGTTTATTAACAATAAAAGAGACTGTGGGAATTATCACTGTGATAAATTCATTAGAAAACCATAGAGCAGGGGAGGTGAATGAGCTATCACTGTGTTCAACAGCATCTGAATGTATCAACTCAGGATTTTATTTTTTATTATTTTTTAAAATTTCAGTTTAATGTGAGGGTGAACTCAAGATTTTATTGTAAAACAAAAAAGTAGTTTGAGGGCAGTGGCTCCTGCCTATAATCCTAGCACTTTGGGAGGCTGAGGAAGATTGCCTGAGGTCGGGAGTTCAAGACCAGCCTCAGTAATATAGTGAGACCTCATCTCCACAAAATATACAAAAACCTAGACAGAGATGGTATGTGTGCCTATAGTCTCAGCTTCCTGGGAGGCTGAGTGGGGAGACTGCTTGAGCCCACGAGTTTAAGGTTCAGTGAATTATAATTGCACCCCTGCACTCCAGCCTAGGTGACTGAGTAAGACCCTGTCTCTAAAAAACTTAAGCAATGAAAACAAAAGTTACAAAAGATATTCAACGATTCCATTTATGTTAAGTTCAAAATCATTTGAAACTAAGTAATATTTAATCAAGTACATATACTAAAATTACAAAGAAAAGCAAGAGCAAGGGAATTATTACTTAGAGCGGTAACTAGCTTGGAGGGAGGTGTTCAAAATTCAAAAAGATTCCCCCCAAATTCAAACATCATGAACATGAAGAAGTCAGTCAAGGACAACACAGACAGCAGAACTTTCTATGAGACGATCAGTGCTGACAAGAAGGGTATCAAAGAACCTCAAAGAAGAAAGTGGGCACTCAGCTAGTGAGAAAGGGTTCCTAGGCAGGAAACAGCTTACAATGGCTCCTTAAAAAGAGGTCTAGAAAATAAAAACAGAGGTGAGTTAGAGAGCATCCCTCAGCATAGCAGAACGCTGACATGATACTTTCACACAGGGGTAGAAAGAAGAGACTGAGAGGTTGGCAAGAGACAAATGGTGAAGGGCGAAGGGATTTGGCAAAGCAGAAAAAAAAATTAGAGGCTAAAATGTGCTTTAGAAAGAGAAATCTGACAGAGACACGCCAAGTATCAAGAATAAATTAGGGAGGGAAGTGAGGACCCCACAGCAACAGTCAGGCTGAGCTATGATCAGAGGACTGCAATGGTTTTGAAAGCACTTAGCACGCTTGATGGGCATAGCTCTAGTTTTAGAAATGTAAGAACACTTTATAATGACCCAGCCAGTGTGTTAAAGGGTGATGTGCACACCCCTAGTAATTGCCTAGTATTACAGAGGGATACCCTGCAGGAGAACGAGCTGTCAGCTCAGCCGCCAAAACCTTTGCAGAGAAGCCTCCTCCAGGTAGCTCTGAGTCTGGAGTTGAGGCAAAGATAAGAGCTGAGGGTGACCGGTTTTCCCTTCAGTCCCAGGCTTGCTGTCCAAAGAGACTGTTTGCAGACATTTCATTCTCTCTTATCTACTGCCACCTAGTGTAGATAGGAAATTGTTTACCTATGAAAATGCAATCTGCTTTCTCCATTTGAAACTGGAATTGCTCAGAAAAAATTAATCACATGGAAAGAATCAGCACCTGTCATAGAAAAATTCCTGCCCTTCTACAAGGTGGAAAACTCTGATGTAACTAACAGTATTTTACTGCATTGTGGCACAATCTGCTCCCATATAAATTAAATAGAGCCAGAAATTCTTAGTAAGTGAATGCCTACAGTCCTCTCTATGAAGAAAATGTGCCGAGAGGGTGACCCGGTTAGATTCTTTGCTAGTTCACCTCCAGGAATACTAGTAGTACCTTCTAGCTCCTGAGTTTTATTAAAGGGAAGAGCACTTTAGGAATCAAAGTCGCCTCGAAATGGAGCGGGCTGCCTTCCAAGAGGCGGAGTTCTCCATGGCTGAACTAGGATATATAACTGGGATTCATGAAGGAGGAACAGGTCAGAGGCACCCTCACACCTCCCACTTTGAGGTTCTGTGTGTCAGTCACACCGAGAGGTCCACAAACGTGAACACCTCTGCTGATGAACTCCATGCGCCTTCACTGGACTACAAGCTCCCAAAGGGCAAGAAGCTGGACCTTCACTGGACTACAAGCTCCCAAAGGGCAAGAAGCTGGACCTTCACTGGACT